TTCTATCGAAATGTTCACTAGACTATAGTAAATTGTCCTATAGAAATATTCACTAGACTATAGTGAACTTTTCTATCGAAATGTTCACTAGACTATACTGAACTTTTCCATAGAAATGTTCACTAGACTATAGTGAACTTTTCTATAGAAATGTTCACTACACTATAGTGACCTTTTCTATAGAAATGTTCACTAGACTATAGTGAACTTTTGAATAGAAATGTTCACTAGACTATAGCGAACTTTTCTATAGAAATGTTCACTAGACTATAGTGAACTTTTCTATAGAAATGTTCACTAGACTATAGTGAACTTTTCTGTAGAAATGTTCACTAGACTATAGTGAACTTTTCTGTAAAAATGTTCACTTGACTATAGTGAACTTTTCTATAAAAATGTTCACCAGACTATTGTGAACTTTTCTGTAGAAGTGTTCACTAGACTATAGTGAACTTTTCTATAAAAGTGTTCACTATACTAAAGTGAACTTTTCTATAGAAATGTTTACTAGACTGTAGTGAACTTTTCTATAGAAATTATCACTAGATTGTAGTGAATTTTTCTATAGAAAAGTTCACTGTAGTCAAGTGAACACTTCTACAGAAAAGTTCACTATAGTCTAGTGAACATTTCTATAGAAAAGTTCACTATAGTCTGGTGAATATTTCTATGTTCACTTGACTATAGTGAACTTTTCTATAGAAATGTTTATTAGACCTTAGTGAACTATTCTACAGAAATGTTCACTAGACTTTAGAGAACTTCTCTAAAGAAATATTCACTTGACCCTAGAGAACTTTTCTATGAAAATATCCACTAGACTGTACTGAATTTTTCTATTGAAATGTTCTCTAGACAGTAGGGAACTTTTCTAAAGAAATGTTTATTGGATTGTAGGAAACTTTTCTGCATAATTTTTTACTATAATCTACTGCATTATGTCTATAAAAATGTAACTTATGTTTAGTGCTGCCTAATTTTTGGCTTAATATATAAATAACTTTTAATATCTACTTTTAGGCAGAAAAAACAAAAAACATAATTTTCTTTAAATAAATACGTTTTGATTTTTAACTTTAAAATTAATTTTCGAATAAAACATTTCTAATTATTGACTTTAAAGACATATTTATTTAATAAAAGTAATAATTGAACTAAATTCTTTGATGCATAACTTGCAAACATCTTTTATTTTAAAATTTGTTGTTTACGGTCTTTATATTATCTCTTCTATAAGTCTTTATTTACATGAAATATTTTATGCTAAAATGTTAAAATGCCATAATGTCCTTTATGGTAAAATCATTTCTTAGAAAATAAACCGTAAAAGTAAAGAAAAAAAGAAAATAACAAAAAAAGTCTTATTAAAGTGTTTAGTAAATAAATACAAGTTAGTAAAGCATAGCATATATTAAGGCTTATAAGCCTTTGTATTTTGTATAGTATTAATTTTTTTTGTTATTGTTGTTATAAAACAATGTGTAAATTTTACCCTTAAGCATTTCAGGATTTTCTTCAATTTCCTCTCCCTTAAGTAGCATGTTGTGGGGTTAACACCAAAATTGTGGCTTTTAAGATAAGATTGGGAAGTAAGGAGAAATTGAAAGAAAATTTTCTTAGTTAAACTTTAGTAAGAAAGAAGTTTTTAAATTGTTGTTTAAGCGTAAAGATTAGTTAAGTTAAATTGATTAAATTTTTTAAGTTTTTTAAAATATTCTTTAAATTATAATTAATTTCTTTTGTTACATTTAATTTCAATTTAAATTTTTCCACAAACCACTGCAAAAAAAGTTGCAGCCATTTTTGCCTCTCTACTCTGCAGCCAACTCCCACTTCTTGCCATAAAAAAAGCCTCAAAGCCTTTTAAAGATCAAACATTTCAATTAAGAGCAAACATCAGCAGACTTTGTTAACAAAAAGTAAATTTTTTTTAAACAAAAAAAAGAAAAAAATTGTTCACAAGTGGCAAATATTAAAAAAAAATCGGAGAAAAAAACTTTTGACTCATCAAAATTTTTAACTAAGGGTTTAAGTAAGCGTGACAAACAAAAAAAAAAGAGGCGAGCAAAAATCTGTTCAAAAGTCTTAAGGCATTTATTTTCTTCTTGCCACGAAATGAGCATATTAAATTATAGAAAAAAAAAAAATTAAACAAATTATAAAAACTTTGTTAAAATGTTTAAAGGAGTAGACAAATACATTTTTTAAGAGACATTTCTATAAAAATGTTCACTAGACTGGAGTGAACTTTTCTAAAGAAATACTTTCCAAACTGTAGTGAACTTCATAGAAATGTTCTCTACACTCTAAAGAACTTTTGTATTGAAATGTTTACTAGACTCTAGTGAACTATTCTATAGAAATGTTCACTAGACTATAGTGAATTATTCTATATAAATATTCACTAGACTGTAGTGAACTTTTCTATAGAAATGTTCACTAAACTGTAGTGAACTTTCCTATAGAACTGTTCACTAGACTATAGTGAACTATTCTATAGATATGTTCATTATACTATAGTGAACTCTTTTAGAGAAATGTTCACTAGACTATGGTGAACTATTCTATAGAACTGTTCATTACACTATAGTGAACTTTTCTATAGAAATGTTCACTAGACTATAGTGAACTATTCTATAGAAATGTTCACTAGACTATAGTGAACTATTCTATAGAAATGTTCACTAGACTATAGTGAACTATTCTATAGAAATGTTCACTAGACTATAGTGAACTATTCTATAGAAATGTTCACTAGACTATAGTGAACTATTCTATAGAAATGTTCAATAGACTATAGTGAACTATTCTATAGAAATGTTCACTAGACTATGGTGACCTATCCTATAGAAATGTTCAATAGACTATAGTGAACTATTCAGTAGAAATGTTCTCTATACTGTAGTGATCTATTCTATAGAAATGTTCACTAGACTATAGTGAACTATTCTATAGAAATGTTCACTAGACTATAGTGAACTATTCTATAGAAATGTTCACAAGACTATAGTAAACTATTCTATAGAAATGTTTACTAGACTATAGTGAACTATTCTATAGATATGTTCATTATACTGTAGTGAACTCTTTTAGAGAAATGTTCACTAGACTTTAGTAAACTATTCTATAGAAATGTTCATTACACTATAGTGAACTTTTCTATAGAAATGTTCTCTAGACTGTAGTGATCTATTCTATAGAAATGTTCACAAGACTATAGTGAACTATTTTATAGAAATGTTCACGAGACTATAGTGAACTATTCTATAGAAATGTTCACTAGACTATAGTGAACTTTTCTATAGAAATATTCAGTAGATTATAGTGAAATATTGTATAGAAATGTTTACTAGACTGCAGTGAACTATTCTATAGAAATGTTCAGTAGACTATAGTGAACTATTCTATAGAAATGTTTACTAGACTATAGTGGACTTCTAAAGAAATGTTCACTAGACTAAAGTGAACTATTCTATAGAAATGTTCACTAGACTAAAGTGAACTATTCTAAAGAAATGTTCACTAGACAATAGTGAACTATTCTATAGAAATGTTCACTAGACTATAGTGAACTTCTAAAGAAATGTTCAGTAGACTATAGTGAACTATTCTATAGAAATTTTCACTAGACTATAGTGAACTTCTAAAGAAATGTTCACTAGACTAAAGTGAACTATTCTATAGAAATGTTCATTACACTATAGTGAACTTTTCTATAGAAATGTTCTCTAGACTGTAGTGATCTATTCTATAGATATGTTCACTAGACTATAGTGAACTATTTTATAGAAATGTTCACGAGACTATAGTGAACTTTTCCATAGAAATGTTCACTAAACTATAGTGAACTTTTCTATAGAAATGTTCACTAGACTATAGTGAACATACAGAAGAATTCATCAATTGTTGATGCTGTTTCTATAGGGAACCTTAAAGATCTTCATTAAATTCTGGGGGTTATTCTATATATAACTTTATCAGTCGTCATAGAACTTCGAAAAACTTTTATATATGCATGTTGTTCATAAAATTGTTGAGCTTTTCTATAGAAAGTTTATTAATGTTTAAGTAGCTTTTTAATAAGTTCATCTATATAATTGATCCAATGTTTAGGCATTTTCTTTAGGTAACTTTATAGATCTTTCAGAAGCTTTTTCTCAGAAAGTTTTTGAAAATTTAAAAAAGATTTCTTGCTGAAGTTTTACGGATCATTTAAGAAGAAGCTCTTTTCTTTGGTTTCTGAAGAGCTTTTCTGCATAAGAGCATAGTTCATCAAGGACCTATGATTTATGTTGGAATGGGAGGAAATAAACCAAACTTTTGATACTTTTAAGATTTTACTTTAATTGTCTTTAACATTTCCTCACCCTTAGACAAATTACAAAAGCTTTTGCTTTCTATTTGCCAAAAAGATATCAAAGTTTTTTTTTATTTATTTATCTTACCAAAGAAGATTTCTTGACAATTTCTACTCCCAAACTTACATACTTACAACTTCCCGTATGCAAATTCAAATATCACACATTAAGGAGTATTAAATTAACATGAGAAACTTTTTCCTTTCAAGTCGTAAACCCAACACACACAGTGAAAAAATCAAAAACTCAAACCTCAGCGCCATTTTGATTTCTTTAGCAAACTTTCTGCTGTTCATATATAACCTTTTGTATGCTTTCTTATAATTTTTGGTTAAATTTCTTATAACTTGCGCAAAGTCAGCAGTAAAGTAAAAAAAAAAGGAACTTGATGATGAAGAATGATTCCAGCAACCCTCTTCTTTTAATGGGCATAAGTAAGGGGAAAAAGGGCAAATTGTTTTTTTGAAAATCTATTCAAGTAGATAATTGCGATAATCTACTTTTTAACAATATAAATAAATAAAATGCTTGAGATATATACAAATAAGTTAATTTGAAAATAATGATGACTATAGCTGAGAATTTAGCATATGGAAATTTTTTACTTTAAAGTATTAATTCTTGTCTTTTTTTCCTTTTCAGCGGTTCAACATGAAAGGGGACCACGCAAGCCTAAACTACATCCTCAGCTGCATCATCAACATCCAGCTCATCATCATGCCCATCATCATCATTTGAATGGTTTAGCGGGCCATCCTCATGGTCCCTATCATGCCGCCCACTTGCCGGTATCTTTAGTTACCAATGTCTCAGCTTCTTTTAATTATACTTCACATATATCGACACATCATCCAGCGGCTGGTTTTCATGGACCTCATCATCCTACAGCTTTTCATCATCCTGGACATGGTCCCAATGCCAATGGAGGAGGACAACATGTGGCTCCACCTCATTTACCCTTTCCTCCTCACTTACTGCCTCAAATGCATCATAATCTTATAGCGGAGGCTACCAGTAAATTGCCCGGCTTGGCGGGTACTGCAGTCACAAACAACAATCTAGTGCCTACTTCTTCAGCCGCCACAAGTTTGCCAGCACTTAATCATCAAAACCAAAGCAATGCAGTACCTACCTATGATCTCACTAATAGTCGTGGTGATGGTTCTTCGGCAGGTAGTGCTGGAGCTGGCAGTACCACCAGTTTAGAATTCTATAATAAAACTATGAATCAAAACTATTCATCACCCTCGCCCACAGCTTCCATACAATCAATATCATCGGTGGGAGGTCGTTCTTCGTTGGGCAGTGAATCGCCCAGAGTAAATGTTGAAACTGAAACCCCCTCCGCCACACCACCTCCGCTATCACCCTCAAATTCACCAGGACCACAAGAACCCCTATCACCTACGGATACCAATCATACTACAAGTTCTCATTCGCCCATTATATTAAATAGTCCACTTAGTTTGAGCCATCATCAACTACATCAACATCACAATAACAACAATAATAACAACAACTCATCATATAACAATCGTAATTTAAATCTACACAATGCCTCACCCTGTTCGTCGCCTACACGTTTGGCTCAATCACCATTACATCTGACAGCCTTTACACACATACAGAAACGTTCATCGCCCCCCACTTTACACACTATAGCATCCCTACAATCATCAAACCCTCATATTGGTTTAGTAGCACTACCACCAACTTCCCTTCATCAAACTGCAGCCACTTCAACACCTACCACTTGTCTGACAACCAACCAACAAACATTAGGCCAACAGCAACCACCACCTCCGCCTCCTTCTACGTCTACAACATCATCTTCCTCGACAGCTTCGCATAGCCAGCATACACAAGCTGCTGCTGCTTTGTATGCTGCACGTCAAAATGGTTTCATTGAATTGCTCTTAAGTCCGGATAAATGTCAGGAAATCATTCAATATCAAGTACACAATTCCATTTTATTTCCACCGTTGCCACAACAATTAATTGGTTTGGATTCACGTTTGCTGTCCTGGGAAATGTTGCAGGAGACTACGGCTCGTTTATTGTTTATGGCTGTGCGTTGGGTGAAATGTTTAATGCCATTTCAAACCCTGTCAAGGAGTGATCAAATATTATTGTTGCAGGTAAGTTGGAACAATATTGTGCCATAAAAAATTTCTTCAGACTTTGAAGAAGTTTTCCATAATAAAGTTTTTTGATAGAAAAGTTCTGCAGACTTTGAAGTAGTCTTCAACTGAACACTTTTTCAGACGTTTTTCATAAAACAGTTCTTTGGACTTTGAAGAAGTTTTCCATAGAGATATCTTGATCAAGACTCTGTACTAGTAATTTTAAATCAAATTCTTGTTTTTCTTTCTCTCTCTTTAGGAATCCTGGAAAGAACTTTTCCTTCTCAACTTAGCCCAATGGATTACACCTCTCGATCTGGCACCTATTTTTGAATCACCCATAATCAAAGAGCGTCTACCACAAGATGATATAACCGAAACGGAAATTAAGACAATACAAGATGTACTCCTAAGATTTCGACAAATTGCACCCGATGGCAGTGAAGTGGGTTGCATGAAGGCTATAGCACTTTTTACACCCGATGTACCTGGTCTATGTGAAATACAGCCTGTAGAAATGTTACAAGATCAGGCACAATGTATATTAACCGATCATGTTAGACTGAGATATCCCAGACAAGCTACACGTTTTGGTCGTTTATTACTACTGTTGCCTTCCTTAAGAACTATACGAGCCTGTACTATAGAGAGTTTGTTCTTTAAGGAGACAATTGGTAATGTGCCTATAGCCAGATTGTTAAGAGATATGTATACCATGGAACCAACAGCAGCGACGAATATAGGGGCCGTGGGAGCAGGAGGTCTTAGTGGGAGCTTGAATGGTGTTCAACAGCAGGAGAAGTAATAGAGAAATATGTGCTTATAGAGTTAAGTTATGAAAGCTTGGCAATATTATGTAAAAATATCATATAAGAAAGCTAGAGCAAAAGAGCTTTTATATGAAAGCTTAAGCTATTTAGCGATATTTCCGTTAGGAAAGTTGTGCTAGTTAGAGATGTACTCCCTAGGAAAGCTTGAACTACATACATATATAGCGACTATAGACTGGGCTATAGATTAGACTATAGACTAGACTATAGACTAGACTATAGACTAGACTATAGACTAGACTAGACTAGACTATAGACTAGACTATAGACTAGACTATAGACTAGACTATAGACTAGACTATAGACTAGACTATAGACTAGACTATAGACTAGACTATAGACTAGACTATAGACTAGACTATAGACTAGACTATAGACTAGACTATAGACTAGACTATAGACTAGACTATAGACTAGACTATAGACTAGACTATAGACTAGACTATAGACTAGACTATAGACTAGACTATAGACTAGACTATAGACTAGACTATAGACTAGACTATAGACTAGACTATAGACTAGACTATAGACTAGACTATAGACTAGACTATAGACTAGACTATAGACTAGACTATAGACTAGACTATAGACTAGACTATAGACTAGACTATAGACTAGACTATAGACTAGACTATAGACTAGACTATAGACTAGACTATAGACTAGACTATAGACTAGACTATAGACTAGACTATAGACTAGACTATAGACTAGACTATAGACTAAATATAGAGTAGAATATAGACAGGACTATTAGATAGATATGACTAGACTATAGACTAGACTATAGACAAAAGATTATAGACTAGGACTATTAGACTAGACTATAGACTAGACTATAGACTAGAATATGGACAGACTATAGACTAGATTATAGACTAGATATAGACTAGACTAAGTAATTAGACTATAGACTAGACTATAGACTCGACTATGACTATACTATAGACTTGACTAATAGCTAGACTATGGGACTAGACTATAGACTAGACTATAGACTAGACTATTAGACTAGGACTATAGACTGCTATAGCTAGACTATAGACTAGACTATAGACTAGGACTATAGGACTAGACATTAGACTAGACTATAGACTAGACTATAGACTAGACTAAGATAACTATAGACTAGATATAGACTAGACTATAAGACTTAGACTATGACTAGACTATAGACTAGAATATAGACTAGACTATAGAATGGACTATAGACTAGACTATAGACTAGCCTATAGACTAGACATAGAGACTAGACTAGACTATAGACTAGACTATAGACTAGACTATAGACTAGACTATAGACTAGACTATAGACTAGACTATAGACTAGACTATAGACTAGACTATAGACCAGACCAGACTAGACTAGATTTCCTTAACAGAAAAGCTTGTGCTAGGTAGCGAGAGAGAAAGTAGCTGAAAGAAAAGCTTTTCTTAGATGCCAAGCTTGTGCTTATTAGCGTGAAAAGCTTTTTACATAATTTCCTTTAAATATTTTCTTTAAAATAATTGTATAACCAACTAAAAACAAGCGAGAAAGGGAAGTTCCTAAATTGATTTTTCAAATTGTGTTTATCTTTAATTTTTCACATACAGACATTTAAGCACTATTACCCCTGATACACCCTGACCCTCCTCCCCTTCATAATTTCAAATCCATGTGTTGTCAGTATTTACGCGTTTTAGCTTCTTTTTATCTACCTTTTACTGCAAATGTTTTGAGTTTCATTTCATCATGTTACGTATAGCTCAGCATAGTTTATGGTTAGATTTGCTAAAACGTTAAAAATATGTATCTTTATAACCTTTTGGCTATTTTTTTACAATCTCTTTGTTTTTATTTAAAATATGTATATAGAATATTTTTTTAGAATTTATTTTATCAAGTATTTTGTTATAGCACGTTATTGTTTTTTTCGTTTACGTTTTCTTTTATTATTATTTAAAAAAATATTTCGCGGTTTATTTGATGGCTGATATACCTCTAACTTCCTTTGAAAAGGACAATGCTGATAATGTATTGCGGTTACAGTTCAGTTTTGATGACGTTGAGTTTAGAAATAATGAAAAAATAACTTTGCTTTAAGCGTTTATTTCAGCTGAATTTGAATTTAAATTGAATTTCAAAAAAAATACAATAGTATTTTTTTAAACGTTTATGATTTGTAAAAATTGCTTTTATTGTGTAATAAATATTCTAAAATTTAAATTGTTTAAAAAAAAACTGTTGTCTTTATGCATATTTAAAAAAAATAAAAATTATGAATAATAATAAAAGTAACTAATAATAAATAATTCTATCAAATAGTTTGTATAAATTGAAATATTTACGAGTATTAGAATAAAACAATAATAATCTTCTTAATATGTTAACTTTAATATTCAAATAAGCGATAAAATTCCAACAACAACAACTAAATAAATACAACAAATGTTAAAGTAATTAAATAGTATTAGTATTAAAACCAATAAAATAAAAATAATAAATACTACATGAAAATGTGCAATAATAAATTTAATAAATAAATAAAAATTAAATATTAAACTTAAATTTGTGTTTTTATTTAAAATTTAGTTTGATAAGATAGTGATAGACTGGTTAATAGAATGGAGCTTAAGGTTTTATACCTCTTCCTCTCTCTTCATTATTATGGTTTTTTCTCTAGTACTTATCGCCCTAAATTCTTAACCTAACCTATCGTCCTATGTTAAGAAACTTAGTTTCCTGAATTCTTATAAATTTTCAAATCAGTGTACTTGAGGGACGTTATATTTGGAATAATATCACTCCTAAGATATTTTAATCTTATTTCGACGAAAGCCTGACCATGACAAAGAAAGTGCTCTAGAATGTAACTGTCCTCGCTATATATTTCATATTCGTCTGAATCTTTACATCCCATTTTGTATAGTTGTGCCCGTAATCCTCCACTCAGAATAAGCACCATCAGATTTGCTCATTTTGAGGTGGCTTCTCGTATTGCTCACGTTAATATCGCCCCATAGGATCTTTGTGAATCTATCCACCTTTTCATTATTCCAAGAGGCCTTATAAGATTCTTCCGCTCATATCTATAATTCTGCCCCCATTGTGTCAAATGGTTTTGCGTTCGTCAGGTTAACTGCCACGAGCTCCCCTACCTTCAAAGCTAGAGCATTCGTTACCGACTAGTCTATAGTCTAGTCTATAGTCTAGTCTATAGTCTAGTCTATAGTCTAGTCTATAGTCTAGTCTATAGTCTAGTCTATAGTCTAGTCTATAGTCTAGTCTATAGTCTAGTCTATAGTCTAGTCTATAGTCTAGTCTATAGTCTAGTCTATAGTCTAGTCTAGTAGTCTATAGTCTAGTCTAGTCTATAGTCTAGTCTATAGTCTAGTCTATAGTCTAGTCTGTAGTCTAGTCTATAGTCTAGTCTATAGTCTAGTCTATAGTCTAGTCTATAGTCTAGTCTATAGTCTAGTCTATAGTCTAGTCTATAGTCTAGTCTATAGTCTAGTCTATAGTCTAGTCTATAGTCTAGTCTATAGTCTAGTCTATAGTCTAGTCTATAGTCTAGTCTATAGTCTAGTCTATAGTCTAGTCTATAGTCTAGTCTATAGTCTAGTCTATAGTCTAGTCTATAGTCTAGTCTATAGTCTAGTCTATAGTCTAGTCTATAGTCTAGTCTATAGTCTAGTCTATAGTCTAGTCTATAGTCTAGTCTATAGTCTAGTCTATAGTCTAGTCTATAGTCTAGTCTATAGTCTAGTCCTATAGTCTAGTCTATAGTCTAGTCTATAGTCTAGTCTATAGTATAGTCTATAGTCCTAGTCATAGTCTAGTCTATAGTCTAGTCTATAGTCTAGTCTATAGCTATCCTATAGTCTAGTCTATAGTCTGTCTATAGTCTAGTCTATAGTCTAGTCTATAGATCTAGTCTATAGTCTAGTCTATAGTCTAGTCTAGTCTAGTCTATAGTCTAGTCTATAGTCTAGTCTATAGTCTAGTCTATAGTCTAGTCTATAGTCTAGTCTATAGTCTAGTCTATAGTCTAGTCTATAGTCTAGTCTATAGTCTAGTCTATAGTCTAGTCTATAGTCTAGTCTATAGTCTAGTCTATAGTCTAGTCTATAGTTCTAGTCTATAGTCTAGTCTAGTCTAGTCTAAGTCTATAGTCTAGTCTAGTCTAGTCTAGTCTATAGTCTAGTCTATAGTCTAGTCTATAGTCTAGTCTATAGTCTAGTCTATAGTCTAGTCTATAGTCCTAGTCTATAGTCTAGTCTATAGTCTAGTCTATAGTCTAGTCTATAGTCTAGTCTATAGTCTAGTCTATAGTCTAGTCTATAGTCTAGTCTATATTCCTAGTCTATAGTCTAGTCTATAGTCTAGTCTATAGTCTAGTCTATAGTCTAGTCTATAGTCTGTCTATAGTCTAGTCTATAGTCTAGTCTATAGTCTAGTCTATAGTCTAGTCCTATAGTCTAGTCTATAGTCTAGTCTATAGTCTAGTCTATAGTCTAGTCTATAGTCTAGTCTATAGTCTAGTCTATAGTCTAGTCTATAGTCTAGTCTATAGTCTAGTCTATAGTCTAGTCTATAGTCTAGTCTAGTCTAGTCTATAGTCTAGTCTATAGTCTATAGTCTAGTCTATAGTCTAGTCTACAGTCTAGTCTATAGTCTAGTCTATAGTCTAGTCTACAGTCTAGTCTATAGTCTAGTCTACAGTCTAGTCTATAGTCTAGTCTATAGTCTACAGTCTAGTCTATAGTCTAGTCTATAGTCTAGTCTATAGTCTAGTCTATAGTCTAGTCTATAGTCTAGTATAGTCTAGTCTATAGTCTAGTCTATAGTCTAGTATATAGTCTAGTCTATAGTCTAGTCTATAGTCTAGTCTATAATTCAGTCTATAGTCTAGTCGATAGTCTAGTCTATAGTCTAGTCTATAGTCCAGTCTATAGTTTCGTCTATAGTCTAGTCTATAGTGTAGTCTAT